ATCAGTAAGTGGAGACACAGGGACATTGCTAAGATCAGGATGACCCTCCAAAGTTGATGACAGGACAAGGAGAAAACTTATCAGGGAGGCTACCAAGAGGCCGACAGTAAGATTGAAGGAGCTGCAGGCTGTTCTGATAGGTACTGGTCACTCCTTGCATGTGACAACAATCTCCCGTATTCTGCACACGTCTGGGCTATGGGGTAAGGTGGCAAGATGGAAGCCATTTCTCACAAAAAAGAACATCCAAACCCATCTAAATGTTGCAAAAAACACATTCAATCACCCTAAAACATGTGGGAAAAAGTCTTATGGTCTGACGAGACAAAGGTTGAACCTTTTGGCCTTAAACCTAAGAGAACACCATGCCTACTGTGAAGCATGATGGCGGCAACATCATGCTTTTGGGCTGCTTCTCTTCAGCAGGGACAGGGGCTCTAGTCAAGATAGATGGGATAATGACTAGCTCCAAATATCAAGATATTTTGGCACAAAACCTGCTGATCCCTGTCAGAAAGCTGAAGATGAAGAGGAATTTCACCTTTCAACATGATAATGACCTAAAGCACACATCCAAGTCAACCAAGGAATGGCTTCAGAAAAGGAAGATCAAAGTCTTGGCATGGCCTAGTCAGAGCCCAGTCCTCAATCCCATAGAAAATCGGTGGAATGGCCTAAAGGAGATCCCCTGGCAATTTGAAGGAGCTCAAACTTTGGTGTGCAAAGTTGATAGAGACTTATTCACAAAGACTTACTGCTGTAATAAATGCAAAAGGTGCTCCCACAAAGTATTAGTTGAGGGTGTGTGCACACTAATGCAACCAGGGTATTGTAAGATTTTTAATTTCAATTATTTTTCCTATTATTTGTTTTTCTCTTGAATTTTGTTCGTTGCAAGGTCACATTAAAGATGGGAAAAATGACTGACATGATTTATCTTGATTTCTGGCTTTACATCAGAAAAACCTGCAATTTCAATAAGGGTGTGTAGACCTTTTATATCCACTGTATCATAAATATGTGGAGTTTTCTTCATTGATGTTTAGATTAAATTAAGATTTTGACAACTGCTTAGATCCAAGATATCCTGAAGTGATATTGACTAACTATGAACAAGTGTTCTTTATAATGTATACATCACAAAAGAGCTGCTATAATATTATTTCTCACGGGTGGCTGACTGTAACCCATAACACTCCTATGATGACTCAGGCACAGTTTTCCCTTAGTATGCTTTAAAGCCCTTTCTGTGCATAGAAATGAAAAGATGATGACTTTATAACTTCCAATTGAATATTACAGGCACGTATAGGCTATTTTTTCTGGAACATTAACATTTGCCTGTGAAATCTTATTGACATCAATGGAAAATGTGTAGAACATGATTAATTCAAGACATCTGTGGTATGCTGTAATAACGTGAAAATCAATCTTGTTTCCAAATAGCGACTTTAAAGTTTATATTTTTCTTTTAAATGCTCATCATTTAGACCAAGACCACAAGTCTGAATTCAAGTACATTTATTTAAGTAGGAACAACCTCTGAAGATTTCCATCACTTTTTGTGTAGCTGATTATAAAAAGTTAATTTTCATTCATACAAAGATCTAGAAAGATGTAGGATTCTAAGAACCAAAAACAAATGGAAAACAACTTGATAAACTTATGTGGAAGACAAGGGTGGTCATCTCTGGCTCATACTTGAAGGTCACAGTTATGGTTGGTTACTCTTGTCAAATTTAAGATAAATGTTCCTGAGGAATCTGAAAAGATGCAAGCGAAAAATCTTAACATCTGAAATTGGTGGACTGCTGACATGCTTGTTGACCCATCTTTGATCTGATATGGCAGACAGGGCCACACACCCCTAAAAGAGATGTACAGTAAAGCTAAAGAAGCATTGCTAGTATGTCCTTCCAAACTAGCCACAAGTGGAAGATTCTTCAGTTTCTTGGCTGATTCACACTTATGTTTTACAGAGTGCGGTTATGCTACGTGCATAGTACTGTCCAGAAGAGGCGCTGATTTGTCAAGATAATATGGGGAGCAGTCACAGATACAGAACCAGCACAGTTAATTGAATGCAGTGCTGTCTGGGTTGCCTGTAGTGAATACTGATTACTGTACGTCTCACAAGTAGCTTTGGAAATAGTGGTTTGAAAATAGTATTTTCAGGGAGAAGCATTGCATGTGTTCTGTGTAGGAACTCTACATTTCTGTATCATAGTTTTAATGTGGTATTCATAACACAATATAAAGACCTTCCATGTTTAAGTCCCAGGATTATGTGCTCAGTCCCAGGATTGCACAGTTGTTTGGTATTAATTTCCCAATTCTTTGCTGGTAATCTCTACTGTTTGCTAATTTAATTTTCTAGTCTGCCTCTGGTTTGTGTTCTGTGCAGTGTGTCTTTCAAGACTAAAGGTTACATTCTCATTACTTCTCATCTCGCTTAAAAAATGTGACCTGAAGAGCTCTTCCTATAAGACATGAGTATTCACTCAGATATTTTTGCTGTTTATAATCTGTTGTCTTATCCAACACATGGTTGGGATGAACATTAAATCTATAAAGGAGAATGGGAACAGGCAAGTGGCAGTAGCTAGACCACAGTAGGAGAAGAAAAATATGTGAACCCTTTTACATTCAAAGATGAAACTGCATACGCTAAATAATTTGAACATAAATGCACAGAACAGCTTGAAACTGTTCAACTGTTCACTCTGCAAAACTATTTCCTGTACATTGTAAGGGCATTAGTATATGATATCTACTTGGTTGATTTTAAAATGCAAAGAAAGCGGACCATAGTCAAAAGTAATGTTGAGGAGCTCAGTCTAGTTTTCGATTGTCTGCAGTGGAGAAGTATCACTGTGTATTTGCTGTGTAAAGCCTCAAGTTTAATTGTCCTTGTTAGCCTGTACTCCCTGGGGACTGTTGTTGCTCGGAAGTTATCTTGCAATTCTGAAAATGCTGTTAGTGTAAACTTGGCAAGTGCAAAACAGGGTTGTATAGGTCTTTGATAACCTTTGGGTTCTTGTCCTGGGATATGTTGTATTTAAAAGGCTCCTTTTTGATTTCTGCTTGCACAGTTCTGAAAGTATAATCAGGCTTGCTTTTTATCAATATTAAGGAAGCCAAGTGGGAATGCAAAGTTAAGGTTTCGGTTTACAAAACTATCCTCCTAAATGTGCATCTTTAGATGTTTTCTGCAATTGAGTAGACAAAACAGAGTCCGTTAAATTTTCTCCATGTGAATTATGTTTAAGTGCATGCTTAAACTGAAGGCAGTTTTCTTGGTGGCCTGCTTTAACTGCGACCTCAGGCACCTGGGCACCTGCTGAGCTGTCAGATAGGGTACTTGGAAACCACTTCTGAATTGCAGGCAGTGATTGCTGTACTGAAGGCAATGTCAGCTGCTAATGTAAAGGACATAATTGCTTTTAGAAAGAAGGGTGAAGACACTCGCTTTCAGAATCTGTCCAAAAGGGTTGTGATGTTTAAACTGAGGTGACAGAAGCGTTCCTGTTTACTTTTTCAGCTGAATTGGTCTGTACAGTAGTTGCAGGCTGCTAGATGAATCCAGTTTTCATAGCTTCTGTACATATGGAGCTTACATTTTAGCAGGTTACACTGCATTTTGAAAATTACTTTTAAAATAATTTGCATTTTTGTGTTTGCACATTGCCTTTATTTTCCTTGAGAACACTGCTGGAGATATTTTGAATGTATTACGTCTTTTTTGTAAGTCATTGTAAACTGTACTTTTAACTATATTGAAATTTAGAAGATCAAATAGATGTGGTGACCTAGTTTATTGCACAATACATCAGTATGTTTTTCTAGTGATTCTAGAACTGAAAATCATTGTTGCTTTGCTAATTTGATTGTGTCTATGGTGTTAATTTACATAATTTCCATTGCTAATGTGACCATTCTTGCACTTGCAGGTCTATCGTGTCTTACGTTACCTGCATGTCTCCTAAATATTTATGATAGTACAGATTAAACATTTATCAATGTAGCAGTTTATTTTCTGATAGAAAAATATAGACCGCAGGCTTTTAATAAATCCGAGGTGTAGTTTAAAAATATAATGAAGTAGATTACAAAACGTTAAAATGGTGAGAAATCTTGTATGTTTCATGCAAGAAATGTAGAGGATCACGTTCATCCCCTTTGGCTAATGTCACGTTCCTACATTTTGTTTTAGCAGTCTGTTGTGTGTGGTCGGTTGTGAATGGACTTGTTTTGGGGAAATTCAGCCATGCTGTTCATTACTTCAACTACTCGTTTTACAGCATGTCTGGGAATTTCCACAGGTTTTTTTTTTTACTGAGCCAGCTGCTGCTGTGAGAGTCTAATGGGAAGTAAAGTTTAGTAGTCATACATTTCACACCTTCCCCTTTGAGTCTGAAGAAGGAACAGTTGTTGAGTTACGTCATGGAAAGAGGTGATTTTTACTATTTCCTAAATCATATTACCCTTTTTTAGTTTGAGGCTTCTTGACGTGTGATTAGAAGCTTACGGAAATTTGTAAAGGACGTGATTTCTTCAATGCATTAACTGCTCCGTCAGCTAATTTTGTAAGATAAATTACTGAAAGTGAATTAGCTACTTTGTCTTGTACTTACCATTCCTATGCCCAAGGCCCTACTAAAGCAGAATGAAATACTGAAATATCCTTTCTTTTGAAAAACTCACCCAAGCTTTTATCATTCAGATTTAATGCTTTGTAGTGGATAGATCTGAGCCAGTATGTTTGGCTTCTCAGCAGGTTGTCTAATTTCAATCCAAGGCTTCCTTGTAGCAATGCCTTTAAACCAATCTTTACCTTCACTAGGTGCTGCAGAAAGGTCGAAGTTCACTGAAATTATTGCAATTAGCCTGAACAATCTAAGGTCTGTTTCTGAAAGCTTTGTTGGGTGAAGAAATGCCTTATGTCTTCAGTTTATTGTTAATTTAAAGTAAATCGCTATTCTTTTTTTTACCTTTTTCAGACAAGTACTTAAGCATGAAGAACCGAAGAAATAAAAGTAAAGAATGATGTAATCCCTACGCTGCCCGGGAAAAAGCATCTTTTGTCTCAATTGTGCAATGGTGTGAAAGAGTTTCCCCCAACTGCAAGCTATCTTCCAGTGAATTAAACGTAGTGGATGCAGCTTGCCGTTTGGCAAAGACCCTGTATTTAAGCACGGACACATAAAAGGGTAGAGTTTTCTTTGAGTGAGCCAGGCTTTTCTTTACAAATGGGATCAGCTTTTCATCTGCCAAGCACTACCAGGATGACATCATCCGTCGCTGCCACAATGAAGCAGTTCATCTCCGGAGGACTCTTCTAGTTCCGTCACTGCCGTGGACTCGGAGAGCAGGCCAGCGAGTGCGAGAGGAGAGAGCGCGAAGAGGGGCGGTCAGGAGACGCCACTGCGGGTTCGCCATGTCGGAGCAGCGCAGCGGAGTGCGGGACATGGGGGCCGAGAGCCTGGTGGCCCTGCTGGAGGGTGGGGCAGACAAGGTGCTGCTGATTGATAGCCGCCCTTTCGTGGAGTACAACACCTCCCACATCCTGGAGGCGGTCAACATCAACTCCTCCAAGCTCATGAAGAGGAGGCTGCAGCAAGACAAAGTCTTGATCACGGAGCTCATTCAGCACTCTGCCAAGAAGAAGGTGGGTCACCGGCAGCCCTTCTGTCCTGTACTGTTCTGGCGGAGTAATGAGCAAGGGGTGCAGTCTCGCCATGCAGCCACGCCAGTCCTCAAGAGTACTTTAAATCCTGAGGTTCATACTTCCGTAACACCACACGTAACGTGTAGTAACGCTGCATACCTGGGCTTTCTTGTGCTTAAGAAATACTGTCGACGAAAAACCAGTTTTGCAGTTTAAGATATTCATTATGTATCCTTCAAAGTACCATAAAGGACAAAGTTTCCTGCAAGAGATGGCATTCCTGATCCTGTCTCCAGCTTTCCAGAAGAAAACTTGGACTGCTTAGTGGTACAGTAGTTTTGGCAAAGCCATGTGATCATTTGGTAGTTTCATTTGAAAAGAACACTCATTCTCTCCATATTATGGGAGGTTACTGAGGTGTATGCAGCATTACTTATACTAACCCCTTCCACATACTAAACTCTGCATAGCAGTATTACAGAAATTGGATATTTTTACCTACAGTTACACAGAAATAGGGGCAATCAGCAGGAGCAGACATTGAATCCATCCATCATGAGATATTAGCACTGTCACCTATTCCTTGTAGGGGTTGCAGGTCACCTAGATCCTAACCTGGAAGCACAGGGCTTACAAAAAGAATATACTTGTAAAATGATGCGAGTGATACAAAATACAAATATCTTGCAGTAATTTGTGAGACTGTGCAAAGTTATCAGATGAGTTAGAACATCCTCACTAGCAAATTGGTTTTCAGTTTGAAATTTCAAGGGACTCAGCCCAATGAGCTTGATCTAGTGAAGTAATGAACAATTGCAAAATACACTCCAATGATGTCAGATTGAATCTGAATGATTGTGAAATGGATTCCTACGGATTTTACAGAATATCTTAACAAAAGTTGGCCTCAACATGTATTTAAACATTTTACAAAACTTCAGTTTCTTTAAGAATTATGTCTGCTTGCTTTGCGTTTTCTGAATATTTAAAATGGTTTAAAGTTTTGTGGTGTTTTAGTGTCTTTTGGGGGGTAGACAAATATGTTAAATTGAATATAACTATTTCAGCTTTATTACTGATTTTATATGTCGGAGGTACATACTGTACATTAATGTTACATTGTTCATTGTAGAATAGCCATTACTAATATGAAATACATTATTTTGAGTAGGTAATGTAATGTACATGTTTTTTATTCAGCTGTGTAATATTGGAGTGGTTAGTTTTTTCTGGTTCACCCTTGAATTTTGCTGGGCCTTAGTTAAATGAAAGCGAACTATCTACCAGAATTCTTTGATGATGATTTATTCTGTTGCTGCTGGTGCTTACTTTAATTTACGTTGCTGGTACTGCCATGTGTATTTAATGTTATGTTTCTGATTATAGAATTATCTGTTGTTAATCTAAATTTGAAAAATGATAGTTTTCCAGTTGATCTACCACAGAATAAAAATTTACTAAATGTTATGATGTCTGCAAAGTGTAAAAAGCTAATCTGTTTGAGGGGACTTTTTAAATAATTCTAAAATCCATAGTCACTTGTTCTTTTGGTTGGCTGGTTAACTGACGTGCAAGTGAAGAGCTTGTATCTACGTAATATACAGTGTAGAAATAAACTTTATGAACTAGAGACACGAGAGTGTAGGGTAGAGACACTTTTAGAATGTCTAATTTAAGAGTAGGATATACTAGAAACTCATACCCCCAAGTGTGTTGTCCTGTCTTTCACATTCCAGTGCCTGGAATAAAACTGATGTACTGATGTAGCTGGATTATGTGTTATTTCCTGAATCCAGTGACTTTCCATTGAATCCTTAGTTTTTTTTCTTTTTTTACAGTTTTGTATTGTAATGTTTATTGTACATATTCAAGCTTGTTGTTGCCACTTTTTACACAAACTATTTTTATAAGGATCTGTTTTGCTCAGGAAATCGTCAAATGTGTGTATATTAGGAAATATTCTTCAGTAGGATGCTTTTAGACATTTTTAAAAGACATTTTTATTGTGGTTAGGCCTAACAGCTGCCAGTGTTGTAGCTCCCAGTCGCAGTGCGAGAGGGGCGGGGCGACTGTCCTTCCCTGTGCTAGACCGTGACTGTGTTGTCTGTTTCAGCTGGAGGTGGACAGCAGTCAGGAGGTGGTGGTGTACGACCAGAGCTCGGCAAACATGGCATCTCTTTCCTCTGAGGCCTTCCTCACTGTCCTGCTGGCAAAGCTGGAGAAGAGCTTCCACTCGGTCCACCTCCTCACCGGTAGGCACTGCCCACATCCACCCAGTGCAGGGAATTGCTGTACCTCTGTGTGCCATCTGCACTGGGAGGTGCTTTTAAAAAGCCGCACTTTGACAGTCGTTGTACAGGAAGGCTTTACAGTTCTAGAGACGGACTAGTGCAGACATTAAGTAATGTGAGGCAGTACGAGAAAGTGAGGTTGATCTCTTCAGCTGATTGTGGTTCCGTCATTAAACAACACACTAGCCTCTTCTTTCTCACCGAGAGTCCCGATCCCTTAACTGATGTGGAAGAGCTCCAGGTGCTGTGCCACACTCATGTCTTATTAGGAAAGAAACAGAAAGATTGCTTAGTTATAATCGCACTCAAGCTGTCGCTGAGATGTCCAAGAAAAGCATTGAAGATTGAATTTAATAATCCTGGTTAATGAATTTAAGATACGGTGCAGTGTTCTAATTCTCACCATTTTCTTTAAAATATGCAGAATACTGGTTTCTATATGGATTGCTTCTGAAAATGATTTTCCTTCCCATAACAACTGTAGAGACTGCATATGGACTTTTAAAGAAAAAAAAAACATGGCTTTGCACTATTGCAGTATACTGTCTTAATTCCTCTTTTTGTCTTTTACAAACTCAGGATTACATGTGTTAAAGCAGAACTTTTACACATGTAATCACTTTCTGCTGAAACGCCTACAGATGACATTTATTATATATCCAATCTTTACAAAAAGTCTGCCAGTTATATAAACCTTCTTGTATAAATATGAACATAAAGTCATACTGGGCTAGTACATTATATGATTTCAGTATACAGCAGTATACTGTATACACACTACATGATGGTATTTTACCTTTCATATTGTCATATATAGTACAACTGTCATAAGTTTCCAGATTTAATTATACAACAGGAGGAATAGAGTTATTTTCCTTTTTCTGAATATGATAAAGTTCAGCATTTCAAATTGCAGAAATGGCAAGAGGCAAGAAAGCCAGCACATCTCTTTTCTAGCTGTTTCAGTGGATCTTTAACATTATCTACTTTTGGAATTTTTTTGACTGCCAGGTGCAAAAGGCAATTCTGTCATGTCATCCATTAATACATGTCTTCAAGCACCCAATTTTCTATAAAGCTCTCCTTTCCGGATGCCGGAATATTGTGAAGCAAGCTTGAATTTGTTAGTTTACACTTTGCATTATTAATACTAGTTTTTATTTCAACCCAGTGGTGTTTTTAAAACAGTCCACTTATGCAGTAAGTAGTACTTAATATAAATGAATGGGAATGTGTTAAGCTGTATTTGTAGTATTTTGGACAAGGGCTAGTACAGTAACTATTATCTTTGTTTACAGTTTTCTTTTAATAAAATCAAGTTCAGGTGAGATCATTACTTGCATTTAGGGTTGGAGCTGAGTTATCTGTTTTAGAAGGTCAATAAAGAAAATAAAATGTTTATTTTTATAAATTTGAAGAGGCTTAAATAGTCCCTAATGAAATGCAAATGTTCTGAAACACAGCTTAAAAGAAATTAAATAAATAGCCTAATCTAAAACCTTGTTTGTAATGTAGTCAAATAAAAAAGAAAAGCATTTATAATAAAACTATTTGCTTGAATTGTAAATATTTATGGTAGTATGACGTTATTTTGCTTAAAATTGTATCAAAACTTTGACCATCAATTTTTGAGAAATTATTTATCAATATTTAATGTATATTTTTTTATTTTTTATTTTTAGTAGTTTATTTTTAGTTTGACCTTTATTATCTTGAGAATTATTTATTTTACAACGTTTATGCACTACTATGAGACAATTACTTCAAATATAATCTGAAGTAGCGATGTGGATCTACCTGTAAATATATTTCAGATTCATTTATAAATATAAACTTGCAACACAAGCAAGTGCAACACGGGGAAAATCAAAAATATGAATATCATGTCGTGAAGTATTTTATTTTTTTGTCTCCTCTGCCTGGAGTGTGATCTGTTTGTGAGGAGTTTGCATGTTCCCCCTGTGTTTGTTTCAGTAGCTGTTGCAGGTGCCTCCCATGCCCCAGAGACATGCATTTTAAGTCTGAGTGGCTCCTCTAGATTGGCCCTTTCTCCATGGCCTAGCTATGAACTGACCTCCTGTCCAGGGACAGAGTAGTCATGAGCTCTCACACACCTGCGCCTAGGGTTTCGGGGTTAGGGTTGACTTTCCACAGCCCTCACACTCACCTGGGAGTTTCAGTTCCACATCATCATGTCTGTCTTTATTACTGTATGTCATTGTGATGTCTCAGCAGAACTTCATGATCAGTCAATTTATAATGTCAATAACACTGTACTAGCAGTTCAAAGGTTTATTGTCCTTTTAACACAAAGGGAGGTTATATCCGGTTATACTGTTGTACAAATATTTGGCGATGTGTAACACCACATCACATGATGTTCAGACTGACTTGTACTGCTTAAAATTAAATAAAAAATCTGGATCATTGTACAATGAGAAATGGAAACTGAAAACAGAAATGCAGAACCTTAAACTTAAGCCCCAGACCAAATTATAAATCTTTTGAATGATGGCAGAATCCAGATTCTTTTTCGGTAATAGGATGTGGTCTCTTGCTTACACGGTGTATTTGGTTTATAATTTGTGTTTTGATAGTGGGCTGAGGTTTTCAATTTGGCCTTAATCAGAGTCTTGGCTAAAAAGTAGCTAAAAGTGCTACTGTATTACATAGAATTCTCAGCATCCAAGTACAAAGGAAATTGTTCAGTTGTACATTGTTCATGATTAGGTAAATGGACATTGTCAGGTTTCTCCATGTCAGCAGTTTCAACAAGTGATTAGTTTAATGCTTGCCTTCTCAAAAAAGCAAAGTCAGTTGTCTACACTCTGTCCCAGGTGAGGCATAGCACTGAAACATACTACTGTATATAGCATTATATATATATATAAGGCATTAACTACTGTTAATGCCTTATATACAGTAGAATAAATTATCTCTTTCTAACGTCAACAATGTTATGACTAATTAAGTGGATATATTTATTATGTAGTTCATTTTGTTGTGCCCTCAGTAGATGTTTATAGTTCTAGTGAATGGACTAATACTCAGAGTGTGAATATTTATTTGTCTATAGAAGTCAGAGTTGTAGAAATGTGTCTTCATAGTTACAGTGGCTCATTCATTTCTGCTCTCCCTTTTGCTGGACTTAAGCATGTTCAGTTGACCTAGACATACAATGTGACACAGTGGGAGGTCAGCATAGCTGCTCACAGCTTTTGGGTCCTGGGTCTTGTTCTGGCCCAGGGAACTTCTGTGTCCAGTTTGCCTGTTCTCATGTTTGTGTGAGTTTGCGCCAGATGCTCCACCTCCACTTTTAGTGTTCTGAGGACATGTTGGCTAGGTGGGTTGGTGTGTGCGTGTGTCCCCTGGGACAGACTGGACCCCCATCCAGGGTGTTCTCCTGTCTTGTGCACTGTGCTTCGGGATAGAGCAGTCCTCACCAGGAATCAGCAGCTTTTTCGATATCGGATGCATGAATCGTTTTTATTTAACTTAAAAATCCATTGCAGGCTTTGTATATTAAAAATATATAATTTCGATATTAATATCTGTGATACCGACCATCTTCATTACACACCTGCAATGTACTGATTTCTCGCTGTATTCCTGTTTTTCTTAGATTTTATTTTTTGATGATTTTCTATTGAAAATACTATTTAAATCTTCATGTTTTTTCAGGCATAAAATTCTCACATCCATATCAATATACTTCTAATGCCATTGCTTTACAGTAAATCGATACCCTAGCTTCCAACATTTTATGGTGGTGGCGAGGCAATCCAGCAACAGTGTATCTTACTGTATTTACAAACAATATGAGTAATGCATGTTCACGTTCTGTAATAATAGATGTAACATATGTTGCATTAAACAAGGGGAAGTACATGTGTATTGCTCACTGCAGTGTGTTTCTGCAATACTGTACTTTAAACATTGGTTAATAGTCTATTTATGTTTTTAAATAGTCCAATTTATTTCCAAAATATTTATACAATTTCATGTACACAATACTTTAAAACAATATTACGAAAGAACGTGCAAAATTAAGCTATGATATAAACTGTGATCCTAGTATATCTGGCATTTTTGAAAATCCCATGACCCCTTTCCACCGCTGTGGAAAGTTAATCCACTGAGATCATCGGTTAATTGATGATCCACTCTGTAATATTCCAGACTAAGTAGAATTCCTCATTTTGCTGCTGCCTTTTTTTATGTTTCTCTTCAACTTGCAGTCTCGGTCAAACATCAGTTCATCTACCGGTTCTGGAGAGATTGTGGTGCTCTCCTGCCCCACCTAATTTGTGCTGCAATAAGTACAGATGGAAGTTTGCAGAAAGAGGCGGCCATTTGGTCCATCTGCAGTAGCTCATTTGGTCAATGGGTCTAGTTCACCCCTACCTGAATGTATTTTAATGATGAAGCTTGCTGTCTCTCTAAGTTTGCAGCAAGTGCCGTGTGTTGCCTGTTGTCAGGCAACCAGGTGAAACCTCATTTGGCACTGAAGTAAGCACTTATTTAGGAGGCACAGCTGCTGGCTCCCCAGATAGCTGCGAACAATTTAATTAATGTTGTGAAATTAATTCATTGGATCCGCTGTGTGCTGAAAGGAAGCCCAGTGCTTATTTTAATGCCAAAGTCATTCCCTGCTTCAGGGTCTCTTGGGCATCCTGCTTATTGTACACCAGCACAGCTGACGGTGTGCTGGCGTGGGGCTTGTCATTCAGTTACTATTTAAAAAATAACAGCTAGTAAACATTTCTGCCATGAATTTCATGTTTAAAAAAGGCTTTATTTAGAGGTACAGTTGCAATTCAAAGATGCTTTCCTTCAGTTTATGTATTGTATTGTATTTTTATATTTTCCCGTTAATTGGAATATTTATATACCCAACATCTGAAAGGCCTTTGTTTGTTCTGGTGGAGAAACCCGAATGGAGTCTCGAACACCCAGAGGTCTCATCTAATTTTGTCTTTTGTAAAAATACGAATAAAAAAGAAAATAAAGCAATCCGTCCTTTTGTTGGATTGTGAATTTGTGATACTGTTTTAAGGTGTTAGCTGTCTTTCTAGAGAGTTCTGAACATGTCCTAGAACAGCTGAGTTTTAGGTAGGAGTTAAGTTTTTATCTCTAAACTACCTTTACACCTGCACAGTAAATTTCCCTTTTTGACAGTTCATTACACTTTTATATAGTCTGCCATTTGACAAAGTATGAGTGTTTTATTCAGTATGGAGTTTGATTAAATAAAATATTGTGTTTGTAAGAGGAAATGATCTCTGATGTGTTTAGCTAAGCTTTAGCTTTCCCTCTTTCAGTTGTCTCACTTGTGGCATGAAATGAGATGTGACAAAATATGCATTTCTTTCCACACGCTTATACTGCTCTGTCCCTTGTTTTGTCCGTGACTTTTCAGCTGTGGAAATGAGTAGATCAGATTGTCAGATGACTAAATTGTGAGGTGAAGTAGACGAAGAGGCACGCTTTATTTTTCGCAACGGTCCAGAAGGGAGTGGTTTACGAGCGGGTGTTTCCTCTCCAGGTGGTTTTGCAGAGTTCTCCCATTATTTCCCCGGCTTGTGCGAGGGGAAATCTGTGCTGGTGCCCTCCTGCATCTCCCAGCCCTGCCTTCCTGTGGCCAATGTCGGCCCCACTCGCATCCTGCCCCATCTGTACCTCGGCTGCCAGAGGGACGTGCTCAACAAGGTGGGTTTAACTGAGAGAGGAGCGTTGCCATTACTGACCGGCTCACTCGCTGACCGCTCTGATCGAGGCCTTGCCTTCTGTCCCCTGAAAACAGCGTTTCTCCAGATCCTAAGCTGTTTTTTTTTTCCTCAGCTGCCTCATTTATAACGTAAAACCTCAATTGACAAAGCATTAATGGCAGATTTTTTCAGGGTTTTCTAATTTCTGAAATGTTTCAGGTTATTTGAAGTTTACAGCTAACAAAGAGCTGAACACGGCCTCAACCAGTCAGATTAGTTTAACTGTTTAGTTAAGTAACTGAGTACTCAGCTGAGATAAAAAAACACAGAAGAGACATCATCATGTCTAAAAGTGTTAGTTTTGATGTAGTCCTTTTCTGACTAACTTCACAGTGGCTAGATTCTGCTGTGTCACCAAATTGTTGGTTCCCAAACCAACATCCAGATGAGGGTTAGATTTTCTCTTTTACATTCCTGTTCGTAATAATGTACAGTAAGTGAAGTGAGGAATAGCATAGCACAATGTTCAAGGATTTTGTTCAGAAATTTGCACTCGCTTTTGTTCTTTTTGCTCTTGAACAATGCATTTATCTTACTTCGAGTTTGAAACAAATATTACATCCATGCACCGTGGGTGGGATATATTTGCTCAAAAAGAACAGATAATGTAAATCTTCTGAACTGCTGAATGAAGATTGAGCTATTCTGGAGTACTGATTTTTTGTAATTATGATTTTAGTAATATGCTTCGGAATAAATGAACATTTTACATTAAATTAACATTGACACTATATTACAAGTACATTTCAAAATATACATCTTATTTAATATAGTGTGATTTATCTATCAATGCAGAAAGTGTTATTTTAGACATTAACAAATATAGTTTAGTAAACATTCGGAGAATACAAATAGTTGTGTTTTGTTATAAACATTTCAAATATTTTATTTGTGGAAAATCCTTTTAACTTCCTGTAATGTTGGGAATACTATGACACAGGAGTGTCTTTCCTTGCCTGCTTTCAGGATCTGATGCAGCAGAATGATATTGCATATGTTCTAAACGCCAGTAACACCTGCCCAAAGCCGGATTTCATCCCCGAGTCCCATTTTCTCCGAGTGCCAGTCAACGACAGCTTCTGTGAGAAGATCCTGCCCTGGCTGGATAAGTCTGTGGAGTTTATAGGTGAATAATGAGGACAAGAGAAGTGTGTATCCTCGGTTTTTCTGCTGTCTCATGCCTTCCGGTTTATTCTCAATGGCTGAAAAGTACTTTTGCATGGAGACATGACAGTTGCAGAAGGTGCTTCAGGTTTGCTTAATGTTTAGAAAACATTTGGTTTAAACCCACATAAACCCTCTTTTAATAAACTGAAAGATATTGATTCGTTTGAAACTATGTATACACACTATGGGAACATTTTTATTTTTGTTTCTTTCTCTTGCCATATATATAAGCTGAATTATGTGTATATAACATATATGTACTGTATATTAATGTCTAGTAGGTACACAACATGGAAGGTTTATAGACCAATGTGCACTTCTCTAGACATAAGAGTATATTAAAGTGCTAAAAATAAATATTAAAGTAGACCTAGTTAACATGACAGTGTACTAGCTGTAATGTTGTCAGGTTAGGATGTGTCTGTAGGAAGGGCAGCAAATGTGGCCCCAGGATTTGATAAATGTAGCGCCTTGCAGACAGGCTGCTGTCAATCACTACATGTGGTATCCAGCAACTAGTCACTCCAGTCAAGGCCATCACTCATGGAACTCCCCATCGATTAGTCTGTCGTACACAACAATTAGTAATTGTTCTACCTGACTGTATACAATTATTTATGTCCATGAGAGTAGTCTACACAAAACTGATTCATCGCTAAGCAGGACATGGCTCTTCTGCTGGCTTACCTGTGGTGACTTTCTCTAGACTTAAACATACTTGTGACGTGTAAATGTTGTTCTGTGTTTTTTATCCCCTTTATTTTCTCTTTTGTTTCTGTGGTGTTTGTCCTTGATATTTAGCAGGCTAAATCATCTCATTACCAATCAACATCTCTCACCAATGAGGGAATATACCGTAGTACCTATGCAACAGTCTTTCAAGTGTGATGCAAAAAAAGTAAAACCATAAAATCAAAATACATACACTTTATTATTCTAAAAACATATATAGTGTGCATATATTGCCAGGTTTCTTTAGTGTTCAGTCTACATATAGTCAAATACTGAGGGAGACTTTTTTATGTGTACCAGAAAATACTTAATGTACACAAAGGTCAAATTAACTTATAGTTGCATTCCATCATGATAATGAATTTGAAAGCTCCTACTGTGTATACAGTATGTTTTTCAGATATTATATATTACATCTACTGCCCACCACAGGCTTAGACTTGGACTTTTCTAGAGTGTTTTGGCACGTCACTTTACCGTAAACCACAATAAGCCTTGGCTGTGCTTCACAGCTGACTGTCTCGTATTCTGTGAAGGAAGGGGGTGGGTGTTACTTACAGCACTATGAAAAATTGCCCGGGGAAATCTTTTTATGATTGTCTTGGGGAGAACATTTATCTTGACACAAAACATTGCATTCTTCCTGAATGTCTTTGGTTATTGTGAAAACAGTTCAATGGCAGCTATTATTTTGTCTTTCAGAGAAAGCTAAAGCTTCAAATGCACGTGTTTTGGTCCACTGCTTGGCTGGAATTTCAAGGTCTGCCACAATTGCTATAGCTTACATCATGAAAAGAATGGACATGTCCCTGGATGAAGCATACAGGTATAGTCATACCACAGACTAGTATGTACTACTAAAGTGTTTCAGTGCTTAGAGCTTGTGAACGTTTATGGTCAAATGGGTTCCATATCCACGGTAATTTAAAACTAGTGAGACCCCACCTATGATACAGTACCCTCCATAAGTATTGGGACTGTGACATCAAAATTGCTATTTTTGCTGTATTGTATATTGTATAGTAAAGCAATTTGGATTTGAGATAAAAGATGAATATGAAGCAAAGTACAGAAAAGTACCTCCTTTTATTTCTGGGTATTTCAGCGCATGTAAGATTTCAAATTTTAGAATAACACCACTTTTGTGTACTGAAACTACTGTATACAGTTTAAATTCAGCTGAACTTGAAATGTGAGCTTTGTTTATATTTGAAAGAGAGACCTTTGAGTAAGGGACGGATGGATTCTGAATTGCACAAGGATATTTTAGTCAAAGCATGTTACCTTTCTAGAACACATGGTTGTCAACAAATGGATTTTACAGTAGGATAACGAAACAAAGCGTGCATCACATTGCTGATCAAATGAAGGTTTTACTGCTCATCACAGTCTGTATACTTTACAGTTTGAGACAAAGAACGAATGTGTAGGCTGTTGAATGCAGAAAGATGTTGAATGATAAGGCCTTTACATCTGTTAATTCAAGTATCAGAAATTAACATTTTATGTTTTTACTTAAGACCACAGTACTAATTATTTTTCTTGTAGTTCTTATTCATTCACACTTTCTTAAAACATACTTTTTTAAATCTTGTCGATTTATGTGTTTTTGATGTGTACATCTGATGAAGGTGTTTGTGGGAATTTATAGTCATGAGTGGTGGAACCCTTTATGCATATGCTCTGTGGACTGTAAGAGCAGGCAGAGCTGTCTGCACTATTGATTGAGACTATATTCTTTCTGTAGGTTTGTGAAGGAGAAAAGACCTACTATCTCCCCTAACTTCAACTTTCTGGGGCAGCTTTTGGATTTTGAGAAAAAAATTAAGAATCCCTTGGGGCCAGTGGGGACCATTACCAAACTGAAGTTTGTGCACTTGGACAAGGCCAGTGACTCACTCTCAGGACAAGAATCTGGAAGCAGCTGTGGGAGCTCAGGAACCCCCCTGAGCTGTGCCTTCTCCACAGAGAGCACAGACCAGAGCCTGAAAGAACCACTCACGCTGACCTGCTCGTTTGCCGAGTCCTTGGGTTTTAGTAGCACGGAGGAGCGCCTTTTGGCCCAAGGGCTGAATGGCCTCCACCTTCGCACAGAGACCGTGGAGGACAGCAGCAAGCTGAAACGCTCCTTTTCCCTGGATATTAAGTCATACGGGGCAGGCAGTAACGGTGCCTTGCGCAGCTTTGCCTCCACCGAGGAGAATCTAGAGTACTACAAACCGTCCGCCTTCAAGGAGGCCAGTAAACCTTGCCAGTTCTCCCCTGTGGAGGAGGTCTCAGAACAAACGACACCTGAAAGGAGTCCTGACAAGGAACAGGCGGGTTCTCTGGACCAAAGCAGCAGCAGCAGCAGCAGGCAGCCCAGTCTTTCCAAGCCCTCACCCCGGTCACACCTCCATCCGCTTCACCGGAGTGGCAGCATGGAGGACAACTGCAAAACTACCAATTTTCTGTTCGGCTTGTCCAGTAGTCAGCAGCATCTGGCTCAGCCTGGCAGTGGGGTCGGTCTCAAGGGCTGGCATTCAGACATCCTGGCTCCCGTCACTGCCACCTCCTTGGCCAACAGCTGGTACTTTTCCCCCGAGTCCTCACGCTTCTATTCCACCTCAGCCATTTTTGCTGGAGGAGGGGGGCCCGGATACTCGGCCTACAGCTGTGGACAGCTGTCGGGGTTCGAGCAGGCGGGCTGCGTGCGGCGGCGGCAGAAGAACGGCGACAGGGGAGACTCGCGGCGCAGCTGGCACGAGGAGAGCACCTTTGAAAAGCAGTTCAAGCGACGGAGCTGCCAGATGGAGTTTGAGGAGAGCATGTCTGAGAGCCGCTCCCGGGAGGAGCTGGGAAAAGTGGGCAGTCAGTCCAGTTTCTCGGGCAGCATGGAGATCATCGAGGTGTCCTGAGAGTCAGGCGTCGGAAGCCAGTCTGAAGAGTCGGGTTTGTGTTCTGCACTGCTGGGGCGGTACAGTGGAGGAAGGGGGGAGTGAAGGTCACCCTCTTTGTTTTTCTTGTACTGTTGAACTGAAAAAAAATCTGCTATTCATGATTTGACCCAAATTTGGTCTCATTCAATTATTAAATATAATATCAGTTCAAATTGTTATAGCTGTGAAACAAAAACAATATTCTACTCTTTGGCTGCTTTCAGCTGACTACTCAAAAATGATTTTTCATTCAAGTCATTGCAAGACTAATTGAAATGAGTACATATACTTTTTAATGTGTGTATATATGTTTATATGCATATGTGCACACATAGCTATGAATAGAACATCACCTCCTTCTGAATACATCACAACACAAACGATCTGCTTAGAAATTTGACTGGTTATTTTTTCAATCATTTCCACATTTTTACAAAGACTGAGCCGTAAAGATTTTTCTTTTGTTTTTTATGTATGTATAGTCATTTTTCCTCACTTTCCTTTTAATCTCTTTCGTGATTCTACACAATCTTGAATGGCCATGGTGCATCACAAACTCATACCAATTCATAGAGCCTAATCTGAAGCACAAATTAAAACGTGACTCTCTACAGTAAGACTTCATGTCTTCATGGCATTTATTCATGTGCAGTTTGTCTTTGTTTTTTTGGATTTGCTTCACCATGGTTGCTTGGAAGCAAAATACAGTACCTCACAAGATTCAGAATTTGGAAAAAAAAGATCTTTCTGGTTTTTGTATCTTGTTGACAACTCAAATCTCAGGTCTTACTGTGAGCAACAAGAAGAAATCATGGCTAAATGAAATCTGACTGCAAATTATGGGAACTTGTTAACATGAGAGGACATATGGACATACGGTGCAGAAGACTGCTGGGGTTTGAGTGCTTCTGCACAATTGGGGAAACAATCTTGAAGGATCTTGAAGGTACAAAGATTAGGACAGAAGGTCTTTTTGCAAGTGATGTGTAAGAGGAAGAGTTTGGTGTTCACAAAAATGCAGTGCAGCTGACCATTTGTTTTCCAGCACTTAAATGAGTGAAACAACGTGCACACACAAAACCTCTACTACAGAAAGGATAACCCTTTCTTATTCAGTGATCAATACATTTGTTCAGGTTAACCCTCCCACTTGTCTATGCCTTGTAATATTATTGCACTATTATAATTTGAAAAACCTATTAATTATTTGTTCAAAATATATTTTTTAACAGCCAAGTTTTTTTAAAGGCTCTGTACACCATGTGTTCGATTTCAGTCTCAGCTCACATGGAAGGACATTGCACTAATGCAAGTGTTTGAAGCATTTTAAGCTGTAGGGGAATACCAGTAGAGAAACTCAGTAAAGAACAGCCAAAACAATGTGCTTATTGGCTACAGTGTAACAAAGTGTGTCTGTGCTTCTGATAAATAGCTCAGGAGACACACAAGGAACTGACAACAGAAGTACACAGAGACTTGGCCCTGATGGTAAATTAATAATATTTCATTTTATGATGGTGTGTTAACAAGAGTGGATGTTTTAAACTCTGAGATCTGCTAAATCTGAGACCTTGAATATAAGAGCATGTTAACTGATTCATTGTCAAGAAAAGTTGTCTTTCAAGTAATTGTATAAAATACCAGCGATGGGCACAGTTGTAATGATGCATTGCAACAAGCTGGCTTCATTATTGCATTTTGAGAGCTGAAATGTTTTGCCTTTTCTTTTTATGCTTCAGAAAAAAAACTTTATTATTTTTCTAAATAGAATAAGCCTCATACAAAACAGGTCTTTAAGGTTTCTTGTTTACTCTTTTGGTTTGTGTGAAACATTGTAGATGAGAGATTGACAAACAATCTAGCTATCATATATGTCAATTCAAGTTGATCAGCCTTTTGAAAACCAGTCGTTCTCAGTACACTGAAAGTTGATCTCGGATGGAATTAATTCTTCAATAAACCAGGAAAGAAGAAATCGCGATGGGGATTTATAAATCCATTATGGGAACATATATAATGTGTGGAACATAAAGTGCCTGGTTCAGCTTGTTCTGTCCTGACAAGTGGTTTTCACAGATAACATCCACTCCAGCTTGAGGATGTGGCAGGCATTATAAGGTCAAGCACGCAGGGAAAACACTTGCATAGGTTCAGGTTTGAATTGTAAAGGGAAAGGATGTTGGGAATTATTCTGAATTTCCTTCTGAGAGAGGTACTGGGCTTAATCCCAAATAAATTGGAGTTGATATTCACACCATAATATGGCTTGTGTACCAAAGTATCATGTTTGGACATTGATACCAGATTAAAAATCTCAAGTTTTCTCAGTCTCAGTGCTGTTACATGCTAGTTCAAAAGAGCCTTTCCAGGTTGGGGTTATGTTGATTACTATCTATAAAAAATAATGTCCACCATAAATATCACTGCTTTTTACATTTATTGTAAAATGCTTTTAACACCAGTATATCTCATAAAACCTCAGTTTTGGAGCCTAATCTGGAAGCCAGTAGAACAAAGACCCCATATTATACGTTGTTCACTGTTTTGAGGTGGGCTGAAAAGTCAATTTCCTGTTCATTTCTTTGCTGTCTTGAGTGTAACAGAATGTTGCTGGAAGGCTGAAAATTCCTTTCTCCTAGTCCAGATTTGCAAATTCTGTTCCAGGGCCATGGATGTCTGGCACACTGTGTTTGGTTATTAAGAAGCCTCCCATGGAAAGTGGTTTTGATGGAAAATTGGTAGACCACTCTTCTGTGTCCTAAACTGTCTTGGCATTTAAGGCACAATAGAAAACCAGATTTCTACTCAAATTTAATTTTCATTTAATAAGTCTGTTCATGTCAGTTACTGTATTCAACTTCAGAAATAGCATATTGACACAAGAACCGATAAGCTATTGGTGAAGAAGTATAGTTGTGCAAGAAAAGAAATTCTGTGCTATGGCACGTGGGGAGTCGGTCTAGTCATTATACCTCTGCAGAAATGTACTTTACTATTCAATTTAGCTGAGCATCACACATGCCAAAACGGAGTTACAGTATATATGTAATCAAGCAGTGGCAGTGTAGTGTGAAATAAGCACTACGATATATTCCACTGTTAACCACAGGTCTCTGCTGTCTGTTCACATCACCCATTTGGGTTTCCTAGTATGGCTAAGTTTCTGTGTAAACCTTAGGAATGCAAACAAAATCCAAAGATGAGTAAAGCTCAAAGTGTTATACAACATAAGATCTTTTTTGTCTCAGTCCCATGAACAGTCTATTTATGTTTTTCCTTAAGTTTTAATGTGTACTCATAGCACTGAGCAGGTGGGGCTGCAAGGTTTTGGACTGTCTGTAGTGAATTTTGAAATCTGAACGCAATAGCCTGGACAAGATTACTTCACTGCAGGATTATTGACACGTTTGTTTTTTAAACTTCTTATTAATATGGTTTTGGAAGTAATATTGAGTCATTTTGGGAAATCTGGTGATTAGTTACAAGGGCAGCAGAGTGCAGTAGAGGTTTGGCATCTGGCCTTGCATGTAGAAAAGTCCATGTTCTTAATCCAGGTGGGGCACAACTCCAATAAGATGTATAAATATATTAGGCTTAGGGTTAAAAAAGCACTGGATAAAAGTACCATCTAAATAAATGAATAATTACTCCCCTATTTTAATTTTAAAAAAGGAGGAAAAACAATATAAGGGCACAGTAGAGAAGGGACCATAACATGGTAATGATAACTGAGCACATGATGAGATGGTTTACCCACTAATGAACATGAAGGTTTTTTTGTGCCTAATGCACTTAATTTCTTTATCATCAAACTACTGGGCACTAGGTAAACAAGGAAGACTCTTTGGATTTTTTGTGGCAATACCCATTTTCCACTGAAAGCAGGAATGTTGAATATATTCAATTCAATCGTTTGTGTCCTGAAAGTGGTGAGAGAGATGGAGAGCTCTTGTCCTGTCCATGGAACGTGAATGATGAAGCTGTGGCATTAGGCATCACCAAAAACACAAAATACAGATTTCTTATTTTTGTCAGCTTTCTTTTAGGCACTTGATTTCCTTCATTATTTTCCTTTTTATTAATTTTTAGTTGCAGAAACTCTGCTCAGGTGACCTGGCCTTACTCTTTGACTGACTAGTTCAGGTGGGTAGCTGCATCAGCATGCCTAGGCTGCAAAGGAACAAGTAATACGTTTATTCCATGCTGAAAAGAGAAGAAAGAAAAGACAATGTTTCGGCTGTAGAGCCTTCTTCGGGCTTCGGGTTCTATGATTGAATAGGCTATATTTTGTACAAATTATATGGGCAGCTTTGATCAAGACAAACAGTAAATGGGATGGATGGTACTCTAAGACCATGGACTGTAAGTTGGTCATTTTAATACAATTATCCTGTCTTCAAAACCACTTCTAAATCTTAGTTGCCATCCGTGTCTGCTTTCATCATTCGTATTCTTACCATTCTATGAAATGCAAATCTTTGTATCTGCAGTAATTTGTGAAGGTTGTATACCTTGACAAAAATGTCTATCCAATTCTCTGCAGTAGTGAAATATACAGTATATATTTAATGTATATACTACACACATGTAGTATGTACGATGATTTTAATTAACCAAGATACCAGAGGTACAGGATCTTTGCCATAAGGATTGGCCATAAAATCAGTTCTATTTAAGGAATGAAAAAGTAAATGCTGGCAAGACACTTTCTCGCAATAAGAGTTGCTTAAAACACAATGTCCGTACCTGTGACATAGTACAGAAAAACACTTTGACCAGCACATTTTCTGAACAGATTTTTCACATAGGTTTTTCTTTTCAACAGCTGTTTCCAAGCCATTTTTCTGTCTCATATATATGTATATTTTCATATAAAATAAAAATAGCCAAAAACTGATCAATTTCAATGAGCATTTAATCATAATGTAACATTATGGCAAACAAAACTACAAAATAATAGCTTGAAGATGGTACATTTGAAGGAATGTGGAGGTCTGTATGATGTCTGAAATAGTTTGCTTTCAGTTTGGTGCAGTTTTTACATTTTCTAAATGTGTGTTCTTGTTTTTAATAAACATAGATGTACGTTGACTGTTGAAATAAAAATCTGAAATGGTACTCTACATACTGTGTATGTGCTTATTATAGCAGTCTCCTGATCTTATTTTGTGTTGCACTGTAGATACCGCTTCTCTCCCTACTATAAATGCAGTACAGACTCCATGCTATGTAAGTATGGCTAAGTGAAGGTCTGTTAAGTGTCCGATGTTTAACTTTAGCAAAGTAACTACTACACTTGAACAAGGATTACATTAGGACAGGAGTTGCTTCAGTAGTTGGGTCACTCAGGTATTGAGACAGAAATTGAGATTCCAAAAGTGAATTAACTGAGAATCATGCATTATTAAAAAGTACAGTACTCCTTTCAATGCTAAATACTTTTAATGTACCTTGTGTATGCTACAGTGCTAAATGTACAAGTGTATAGAATTTTTAAATATGCAGATTTATACAAAACAATGTATATATTCAGATATCAGATGTATATTTTCATGGAGTATGATTTCTGATTAATTTTAAGTCTTGTTTAAACAAATTGTATCTTTTATTTTGAATGTAGTGTAGTGATTTGGCACTTTTATTAGCCGTACAATAACATAATCCACAGTAACACTATTGTGGCAGTGACTTTCAGTGGTTAAAGACCATAGGCTCCTAAATCAAAGACTGGGTTAATAAAATAGTTAAAATCTTGGCTTGACTGAAACTAGAGAACCCTGTAACTTCCTAATATTGAAATTCCAAACCCCTGGCTGGAATTCAATAAGCTCCAAAGCCATCTTCACTTTACGTTGGTTAGTATACAGTAGGTCAGTGGATTTGAAAAAAACATAAATCAAAAGCATGGGAGTTATTTAAGGAACGGGATAAGCATTCTGACAGTGAAACCTCTGCAGAAGAGCAAAAACAAAAATGTTTTCTAAAGAATTTGTAAATTCATTAAGCATCTGGACTAAGTTGTTTTCAGTAATGCTTGAATCATAATGAAAGTCTCACCCTAAGGCTGTTCACTGGAGGGTATCCAGTAAAATTATTCTCTACTAAACAAAACTCAAAAACTGATTTTTTCTGGTGAAAGAAGGCTTTATTAAATACATAACTGAGCAGAAAACCCTGTGCATTAATTGGTCAGCATTAGACCAATGATTTACTGTCCTTCATGGTAAACCTGTTTATATTACACATATATACATTCTCATAAAAATCTGCAGAATTATATACTGAAGGATATATAATTCAATTGGTACTTTTTTTCTAATGCAGTGTGACAGTAATGTTATATCAATACACAACCTGTACACCTTACAGTTCAACATACAATCAAAAGCAAAATAGCAACAAAAATTTTCCCGGTTCTTTTAGCCGATTTTGAAATACAAAAACACCATACTTACTTGGCAGTGTCCAGTTGTTAATGGAGACTGAGAATAGCATTGTGCCAAACGCAAGGTAACAGTTAATGCCAGTCCAAAGCTTACAAACACAGGTTTGTAACTCTATCACCTTTTCTGTTTGTTAAATTTTCTACTTTTTCATTCACTGATCAATGCGAAATATTTTCAGTGCATTCACAGCTAGGTCTTTTAAAATTGTTCTCATGCTTGATGTCTACATACTCTATTCCCATTGGCAATCACATTTTAAAAACAGATTTGTTAAAAAAAATGCTTAGACAATACTTTCAACTGCTATGGCCTCACTCCAGAGCCACCAGGATGCTCTGGATTTCTTTCTTCATGATTTTAACATATCAATAATTTTATGGGCCATAATTGTCACTGCTTCCAAGGGTTTTCATCTTCTTAGAAAACCTGCTGGGCTGTAAAACCTCCCTGACGAGGAGCAAGGATGACTAAATTAGGTTCTTAATATCATTTATCAATTATTTTCTTTGGTCTTCACAAAGAGAGAAAGAACCCATGTATTTACAAAGAGAAAATATTTTTTTATCCGTTAACATCATCTTCAGTGCCGTGCAAGAAATCTCTAGGTGTTAGGAAAAGCATTACTGTAACCCTCTTTGAGCATTCAAAAATACACAATGTTCAGTAGTGCAGAATTCGGGTGTCCTTGCTGTCTGATGGCTTTTTCACACAGCTATAACAGCCCTGGCTGATGTTCGCCCAAGTGAACTTCATATGAACATGGACCTCTTGCTTTAGACACTTCCAGAACGTGGATTATATACCATTATATATTTGATCACATATACATGGTATATGTGTTCAAAAGGCAAAGCTATAGAGAAAAAAAAATCCCAAAGCATTATATCAAGATAGAGGTCTTATAATGCTGATCTCAAGGAAGCACTCAAGTTCTAGTCCAGTTGTTCTCTTGGTTACACCTACCTTGCTTTGGTAGAGATCCAAAAACCTTATGAGTACCATCAGAAACACAGCACATTTACAGCAGCTAGACATTATTTCAAGTGACAGTATTATACATAAGAATGTTTCAAAGACTTTTCCTTAGACATCAGAAACAGAAGGCTTCAGAATTAATCAATTAAACAAAGTGGGAGGTGTTGGAAAGCCTGTGGAATTCTTCTCCAGTAAGACACCCGTAGGAGTGTCATCCTCTTAACATTCTGCATTTGACATTACGTTTGTGGTTGTGCATAAGCCATTTAATTATGCACATATCCACTAATGACAGTCCACCTGCTTGTTGTATAGAAACTAACAATATACTGAGACAGAAATGAACAAGGTAGGACCCCACACATTCAAGTATACTGTGCCAAAGTGTAACTATTAACCATACTGCTTTCAACAGTCGGGAGTACAAAAAGTAAATTCTGACCTATCATTGCATTAAAGAAGCAAAGCATGGAACATGAAAGCTGACCCTTAGTTTTTGTTTAGTTTGTGGGAGAACTATTCCCCAGCACAAAATGTAAAACTGAAGTCTAATACGACTTGATGGCAATTACTCACAGAATGTCAGTTCTGGGGCCAGAAAGCCTCCGAGCACAGCTATGCTTTTTAACCACACGCACCCTCGTGAGTCCAGCTCCATACCACCGCTGAGACAGTGGTTTCCTACTTGGCTTCCCTGTCGGGCTTCATGGTGAAAGGCTCGAGCCGCTCGCTCTCGGGCAGCAGGCTGTTGAGCTTCTCCATCAGGGGGACGGTCTGGTCGATGCCCATCTGGATGCGCCGCAGGATGACAGACATCTCGTTCACCTTCTGGATCTGCTCGGCGTACTTGGCGTAGCGCTTCTGCCGCTCCTGCATGATGCTGAACAGGGCCTCCACCGACAGGTCCATCTACAGCAGAGAGGGGCACCGCGTCAGAGGCGCAGCGCCGGCTGTACAGGAGTCTCAGGATCAGGGCGTTCCCCATTCCTGGTTTCAAACCTGCTCGTGTTAGTCTTACAGGTCAGTGGAACCAGGGTATGATGGAGATGCAGTAATGAATTTACTGTGGAGCTGTCAGGTCATGAAAAGTACTTTATTTAACAAGGACGAGAGGAAAGTCTCTTGCAGGCACCAGACGGCTCTGTGCCTGAAAACAATTTCTAAAAGCTGTGAGTGCTACCTGGCCTGTCATAAGCATGGTATTTATTATCATGTCTTAAGTGTCTCCTTTCCTATGCTGTTGTGCGCGTACATGTATTTACAGTAATGCTTTATTTTGTATGCCGTAAAGCACTGTTAAATTCATATGCAAATGCATTTAACTTCATCGCCATATGTTAAATAATGCATTATTACTTTAAACACAACATAAAAGTAATGCAGTTTTCAAAAAGGGAATTTAAAAAACACGACATGGCTGGTCATCTCCCTTAACCCTGTGTATTTTTATTCACATTGCCTTGCAGAAGTATTCACTCCCTTCATTTATGTTCCATTTTCTTGAATTACAAATGATGTACAGTAGGCTAAAGAATGATTGGCACCCTTAATAAAGATGAACGAAAATTGCATTCAAAATAAACAGCACAGATAATGAGCTCTATTTTGTACCCACAAAATGGGAAAAATTCAGACATTAAAATACAATTATTTTAAAACATGTTATTAAATGAATAATACTATTTTTCCTCAAAAACATAGGAGTCCTGAGCTTACTGTAATACATTTTTAAGTAAATATTTTAGTCAGACCTTAAATGTTGAATCTGAAAATATCTGTGGGTGAAAGAAGTTAAATGTCTGCAAAAGCTACAAAGAAAATAACTAAGTATTTACCCCCTTTGCTATGTCAAACCTAAGTTACTTCAGGAGCACAAAATTACCTTGACTAGACCCACAATTAGTTGAATTCCCTCTACAATAACAGTGGCTTGCATGAACTCAGAATAAACACACCTCTCCCTGCAAGTATCTTTAGTCAGGTAGTTAATGTCAAGAGATGATTCAACTACGAAGACCAAGGAGCTATCAAAATAAATCAGTGACAAAGTAGTAGGAAGGCACAGATTAATCAAATGTTACTGTACAAAAATGTCTAACTGAATATCCCTTTGGACATAGTGAAATCACTCATTTAAGAAACAGAATATGCAATGTACTGCACTGTACAACCCAGTCACTGCTTATAGCAGACTTGGAGGCTATGTCTCTGTACTGTAAGTCTCTGTATTAAGCTGCTAGGCAAGGACGAAATTGGTTAGGGATGCCACCATGAGAACAACAGTGACTTTGAAAGAGCTACAGAGCTTAATACCTGAGATGGGGGAAATAAAAGTCAGTGAGTCCACAATATCCACAATAACCAGTCACTCTACAAAGCTGGCCTGTACGACAGGTAAGGCAAACGTAGCTAAAATCCTGCACAGAGTTTACAACAAAGCATTTAAGTAATACTGGAAACATGGCTAAAGATTTTGTGGCCAATCAAACAAAAATTGAAACTTTTTGATTTAAATGCAAACTATGAGGTCTGGTGCAAACTCTGCACAGTCCAGTCCACACCGCTGGCAGGGGGTGGCAGCATTAACACAGGGCTGCTTCTTATCAGCAGGGACTGGGAAGCTTGTCAAGACCAAGGGGAAAATGGATGGAGCAAAGTATTGGCAAATCTTACAGGAAAAACTGATTCAGTGTGACTTACACTTGGATGAAAATTCACTTTCCAGCCGGGCAATGACCCAAAGCACAAGACTAAGTAGATACTGGTGTGTATCAAGAAGAAAGTGAGTGTCCTTGATTGGTCCAGTTGTAAGTTCTGATTGCATCTGCTAAGACGTCAGTAAGAAAAGACTTAAAACCTGCTGTCTATTAACATTTCCTGGGCCGCCTTGACAGAGCTTGAGCAAGTTTACAAAGACATTTGAGAGAATATTGCTCTGCCCAGGTGTGGAAAGTTGAAGGAGACATATCCAGAAAGCCTCACAGGTGTGTATTGTAACTGGTGCCAAAGGTGTTTCCACAAAGTATTGACCCAAGGGGGTGAATACTTATGTAATCAACATATTTTAGTTTTTGACTTTTCATGTCCATCTTTCAACATTAATTGAGTTTAATTAAAGTTTTGAGGCACCATTTAAAATTAATATGCAAATGCATATCAATTTAATATTTATGTCTCGCCACATAGCATTAACCAAATTTACAGACAAGATTAGGTGGAGAGTTTACAGCCTTAGTTCTGTATAATCCAAAGTAAATCTCATTACTTTGTTTTAGCAAACTTTTTTAATTAAGCACCCTTAGGCTTTTAAAAAACAAGTTTATGAATATTTTTGGAATGCCATGGTGTATTTACTTTTTAAGCAAGATGTTTTTCAGTGACAAAAGAATCTGTAATTTGTTCTAAAATGCATGCTTCTTAACTCATTCCTTCATACAGACAGTTACCCAGTGTTTATTCCTGGTATGTAGAAAAGTCATCTCTGGTGCAAACAATGTTCTTTATCCTAACTGGACAGCTCCCTAGTGCATAGACAGCAGGAAATTCTCGAGAAGAAAAGGCTCCGGTTTAGGGTCTTTGATGATCACTGCTGATATCGGGGATATTTTGTTCATTTCAAGCTAAAAGCTCTAATCAGAGATCATCTAAGTACTGTCATTTTCCAAAAATGCTCTTTTTTCCTGCTGCACAGTTCAGGTTAGCATCGCGGACTTCATATTCAAGTCCCTCAACAAACATTTTCTTACAAGAGGCTGATATTTGTACACAGGCGCTGGTGTGGGTTAAGATTCACTGGTTCAGGGGCAAAAGACTCATTCCAAACAGAAACAGAAAGTCTTTAGTGACCCTGCCCCGTGGAGAACAGCATTATTGTACTGGAAGATGAAGAAATCACACAGAGACTGGTGTAGCTGTAGGAGCGGGTAAAGCGCAGGTCTCAAGATGGAGAAAACACTGTGGAGTAAGATAACTGCTGACAGCAGTCCAGTTCCTACACATGGCATTCATGTCCTCCCACACTCTTCCTTACACTACCGCCACCACAATGATGTCAGTCCCTTACACAGACACATCCTGCCAGTCAAATCACACAGACAACTAGGATTCATCCAAAAAACCCCACTAAGAATGCTAAGTCACTACCTGAAGACTATAACTGGACGTCTGGGTCTTCCATAATCTATAAACCAGCAGCTGCCACTCATTGCACATTTCTGACCACAATCCTGGGAGTTTCCACACGGCTGCTGAAGTTAGAGATGGGAAATGAATGGATGATCCCTCAATGCATAGATGACCTCACATTGCAGAATTCCTGTGCGAAATACTCCCCGACAGCCTTGCCTCTCTGTCTTTAACTGAGATGCTGTGTTTTTTTTTTTTGCCTGGTTAAACCTGGAATCCCCCATTACTTTCCATTTTATATCTACTGAGTCTGAAATGGCCATTTGTTAATAAACTGTGCTGTCTGCTACAGCCCATGTAATGCACTCAGAGAATGAGGTCCTGGGCACAGACTTTTAAACACACCTGCCTGCCACAGACATTTCTCATGTGACATGCTGTCAGCTCCACTGTGCGCACTAGGAGAGCTGAATGAACACTAAGTGAAGGAGAAGCACGCCTATAACCAACATCACTCAGAGGCTCCTGGCAGGTCCCTGGAGTCGCAGTCATGTAACAAGCTGAAGAAACACGGACAGCTATGACCGACCAGCTCCAGCCTCGCTCAGCTCGCTGGCCTCCTCTACATGGGGAATCAGGGCACTAGAAAAGCCCAGACTCCACCTATCCAGCATCACCTTTACCTGGTGCTCAGGAGCACCTCTGGGTCCTGGCATTGCTGCTGTGTGGCTGAACTGAGCGATATTTTAAGCATACATGGCACTTTTGTACAGTTGCAAGTAAATGTTTGTGAACCCTTTGGAATTACCTGGATTTCTGCATTAATGACTCTTCAGGTTATACCACAGCATCTCAATTGGGTTGAGGTCTGGACTCTGACTTGGCCATTCCAGGACACAAATTGTCTTCTGTTTTAGCCATTCTGTTGTTGATTTACTCCTGTGTTTCGGGTCATTGTCTTGTTTCATCACCCAACTTCTATTAAGCTTCAGGTGATGGACCGCTACCCTGACATTCTCCTGTAAAATTTCTTGATACAATTTTGAATTCATTGTTCCCTCTAGGATAGCAAGCTGTCCAGGCCCTAAGGCAGCAAAGCAGCCCCAGACCATGATGCTTCCTCCACCATGCTTCACGGTTGGGATGAGGTTTTGGTGCTGGTGTGCAGTGCTTTTTTTCCTCCAAACATAGCGTTGCACATTTCCGCCAAAGAGTTCAACTTTTGTCTCATCTGCCCACAGAACATTTTCCCAGAAGCGCTGTGGAACATCTAGGTGGTCTTTTGCAAACGTGAGACGTACAGCAATGTTTCTTTTGGAGAGCAGTGGTTTCTTCCATGGTGTTCTTCCATTAATACCATTCTTGTTCAATGTTTTTCTCATATTAGACACATAAACAGAGACTTTGGCAAGTTCAAGAGATTTCTGCTAGTCCTTTGCCATTACCCTGGGGTTCTTTTTCACCTCCTTCAGCATTGCACCCTGCACTTGCCATGATCTTTGCAGGACACCCACTCCTAGGGAGAGTAGCAACAATACTGAATTTCCTCCATTTGTAGACAACTTGTCTTACTGTGGATTGATGAACACCCTTTAGAAATGCTTTTGTAGCCTTTTCCAGCTTTATGCATCTCTACAATTCTTCTTTTAAGGTCCTCTGATATTTCTTTTTATCAGGGCATGGTTCACATGAACAGCTCTTTCTTGAGAAGAGAAGACTCTGTCAGTAACCAACCTTTGTGTGCCTTTTTTATAGGGCAGTGCACCTTCAACCCACACCTCCAA